GATAGATAGATAGATAGATAGATAGATAGATAGATAGATAGATAGATAGATAGATAGATAGGCAGGCAGGCAGGCAGGCAGGCAGGCAGGCAGGCAGGCAGGCAGACAGACAGACAGACAGATAGACAGATAGACAAATGGATATAGATGACAGGATAGTGATGATAGATGATAGATAGATAGATAGATAGATAGATAGATAGATAGATAGATAGATAGATGGATGGATGGATGGATGGATGGATGGATGGATGGATGGATGGATGGATATTGGCAGATAGTAGAAGATAGAGAGCAATCCATCCATCCATCATCCCATCAGACAGAGGCTTTGTTTGCTCCTAGAGGTGATTTTTCCCACTTTCTACCCATCGGGACATCCGAGGCTGAAGGAGAACAGACTCCCTCCAGCCATCACGGGGCTTCCCTTTCTCTGCTTTTAATGCTACTCCTTCCATTTGCAGATGGGCAAAATACGTGGCGGAGAAGAACGGCTATTTAGGCCACGTCATCCAAAAAGCACTCAAAGCATACCTGCAATTGTCCTGGTAGGTGTGTGGTTCATGTTTACACCTGGAAAAGGTGCTTTAGTTGATATTGTGAGCTGCGTTGCCAGTTCCTCATTTTACAGGTAGCTCTCAGCTTGCAACAGTTCATTTAGCGACCATTCCAAGTTACAACGGCACTGGAAAAAAAGTGACTTACGACCCTTTTTCACACGACTGTTGCAACATCCCCAGGGTCACGTGATCAGAATTCAGAGGCTTGGCCACTGGCTTGTACTTATGACGGTTGCAATGTCATGTGATCCCCTTTTGCAACCTTCCGGCAAGCAAAATCAATGGGGGAAGCCAGATTCACTTAACAACTGTGTCAAGAAAGGCCGTAAAATGGGACAAAATTCACTTAACAAATGTCTCACTTAGCCCTGGAAATTTTGGGCTCAATTGTGGTCCTAAATCAAGGACTGCCTCTGTTATGTATTAATTTAAAGCAGCATATTTTGTTTTGTTTTGTTTTTTTAAAAAAAATCTGGGCTTTATCCTACATAGGTAACTTCCTTGCAGCCCAGGTAGATCCAGGCTGTTTCCATGGAAAGGCAATATTTTCAACATTTTGTGAAGTTCCTTTATTTTAGTTTAATTGGGGTTTTTATTTTTTTGCTCTTCTCTTCACTTTTAGGAATGAAGCTTTACTGTATTACATCCTTTCTGCGGAGACAGGAATAGAGGTATCGCAAACAAATTTAGCACATCTCTGTGAAGAGAAACCAGTGAGTACTACTACTACTACTACTACTACTACTACTACTTCTTCTTCTTCTTCTTCTTCTTCTTCTTCTTCTTCTTCTTCTTCTTCTTCTTCTTCTTCTTCCTCTTCCTCTTCCTCTTCCTCTTCCTCTTCTCCTCCTCCTCTTCCTGTCCTCCTCCTCTTCCTGTCCTCCTCTTCTTCTTCTCCTTCTCCTTCTCCTCTTCCTTCTCCTTTTCCTATCCTCCTCCTTCTCCTTCTCCTCCTCCTCTTCCTCTTCTTCTTCTCCTTCTCATCCTATCCTCCTCCTCCTCTTCCTCTTCTTTTTCTCCTTCTCATCCTCTTCCTCCTCTTCTTCCTCCTTCTCCTCCTCCTCTTCCTCCTCTTCCTCTTCTCCTCCTCCTTCTCCTTTTCCTATCCTCCTCCTCCTCCTCCTCTTCCTCTTCTTCTTCTTTTCCTCCTCCTCCTCCTATCCTTCTCCTCCTCCTCCTCTTCCTCTTCTTCTTCTCCTTCTCCTCCTCTTCCTCCTTTTCACAATGTCATTTTTTCCCCATTTTGCTTCCCAGGACCTGTCAAGAAGATACTTCGCCACTGACTGTGTTTGGAAGTACTACAATTTCTCCATTTCTCAAAGCAACGCTCCCTCGTTTGGTACGTATGCCGGCCGATTAAAAAACACAACGCCGTCTGAGTATCGTGGAGTGATGGAATATACTCGGCTCGTTTTGTGCGTCGCCCACCGTTGAATCAGAAGCACTCGCTGATTGACATCATTTGGTGCTGATGCTGAAGTTCTGGGCACCCGTGTTTAAAAACATAACCTGTTCAGTTAAATATAACAAAGAAATTTGCACAAGCTTTAACACGGGCCTTTCTTTCCATAGCTTACTTGAAAGTGGGAGATTTTTACTATTACGGTTATCAGAACCAGACCAGAAATTTGGACATGTCAGCACATATGTATGCACAAGCAGCGTTGAAGGAAGATGCGCAGGTGAGTAGCATGTCTAAGATGAAATCTTTAAAAATGGCATGTGCTGGACCAGTGTAACTCTGGCCAGAACATACATTTAGCTTAAGAACTGTGTTAGAGCATTTAGCATTTAAAGGGTTAAACGCTGTCTCCTTAAGAGATGGCCTCTGGGAAATGTAGTCTAGTTGTTAGTCAGTCCTATATTTTATCTAGTCAGTGGGAGGGGCTTCAAAGTTTATTACAGGATGTCCTGGCTACAGTGCCAAGGTTGTAAAATCCTTTGTCTATCAAGCATCATGCACACATCGATTAGCATCCGTATCCATGCCTAGCTGAGATGGGGAATTATCCCTTTTTACCTACGAGAATGGACAGATATGAATATGACCGGATGTATCTACATCAAAGTATGTCTCTGCTTAGGATTCCTGGACAATAAATATTTGTTTAAAACCATTTTCATGGAGCTTATGCTATCTGGATCAGAACTATAACACATCTCAGTTCACGGTTCCAGAAAATGGCGTAAGGCTCTGATCAAGCTTCCCCTGTATGGAGCAGACGGTCCCTTAGAAGCACACCAAACCCAGATTCAGACACCCAATCCTGGTTCCAGGCTATGACTCTATAGCTGGTTTGGCACAGCAACCATACACGACACGGACAGACTTCAACGGATGGTTAGGACTGCAGAAAAAACAATTGCAACCAGCCTGCCTTCCCATTGAGGACCGGTATCCTGCACAGGCCAGAAAGAGGGCTGAGAAAATATCTAGAGACCCCTTACATCCTGGACACAAACTATTTCAACTCCTCCCCTCAAGACGACGCTGTACGGCATTGCACGCCAAAATAACTAGACAATTTGCTAAACAACTAATTCCCACAACACTGGCCTATGCCCCGGGGTGTCAAACCCCTTAGTAGGGCTGTATTACTATTATCCTTCTCATCTTTCCTATTAGCTAATTCCTTAGCTTTTCATGACGATAACTTTGTTGTTTGTATCTGGTGATTTATGTTGATTGCTTTTATTTGGTATCCGATGACTATCATTGAGTGACTATGACTATCTTATGATTTATGGGGATTGTATTATGATGATCATGATCATGATTTATCAGTTTGTTGTTTGTATGTACACTGAGAGCATACGCACCGGAGACAAATGCCTTGTGTGTCCATTCGCACTTGGCCAGTAAAGAATTCTATTCTATTCTATTCTATTCTATTCTATTCTATTCTATTCTATTCTTATTTCTATTCTATTCTATTCTATTCTATTCTTATTTCTATTCTATTCTTAATTCTATTCTATTCTATTTTATATTCTATTCTTTTCTTTTCTATTCTATTTTCTGTTCTATTCTTTTCTGTTCTGTTCTTTTCTTTTCTATTTTCTATTCTATTCTATTATTTTCTATTTTCTATTCTATTTTCTATTCTATTCTATATTCTACTCTACTCTACTCTATTCTATTCTATTCTATTCTATTCTATTCTATTCTATTCTATTCTATTATTTTCTATTCTATTATTTTCTATTCTATTCTATTCTATATTCTACTCTACTCTACTCTACTCTACTCTACTCTGCTCTGCTCTACTCTACTCTATTCTATTCTATTCTATTCTATTCTATTCTATTCTATTCTATTCTATTCTATTCTATTTTTTATTTTATTCCATTCCATTCCATTTCATCCATGACAGGAATCTTGCTAGCAAGGCTGTCCAATTAACCATCATTTTATCTCTTCCAGGGATTCTTTAATTTGGCTCTGCTTCTGGAAGAAGGTCATTCTATCCCAAGTTATATTTTAGATCATTTAAAGATTGACAGCTCCGTCCACTCCAGAAATATGTCCCTCCGTGAAGAGCTTTATGAAAGGTAGGCCTGTCTTTATTTTATTTTTTGAGGGATACGGAAGTCAGAGTTGAACGTTTAGTGTGGCGCCTGTGGAAGATTAGCACAAATGAGTTGTGTGAATGAAGCAAGCATCACAGCAATCACAACCCAATTTTTAAAATTTGGGAGAAACGTTACTTTTTAAATTAAACAGCAAAAAGTGTACTTTGAATACAGATTTTGGACAGTTGGCAATGAATTAAGGAAGGGCCCAAGTGGAGCTAGAATTATAATTTTAAATTAATATAGAAGAATGCCTCCTGTGGGAAGCTTTGACTGTTTTGTTTTGTTTTTAAGTGAAAAAAGAAATAGGATGGGACTTTGAGGATCAGACACTAGAGGGAACCAGAGGATAATAAAGAGTATAATTGACTCCAAAATAAAGGGAGCAAAATATTGAACACTTGTGAGTTTTGCTCTGGATAGTTTTGAAAAATGGTCTTTAAAACTATCTGACATGATGGGTAGGTGGAGGGTTAATTGCAATTGCAGAAGAGAAATAAGCTACTCCGGGTAGGTTTGGAAATTAATTTGAAAGTGGATATAAGTATGACAAGCCATGAGAAGGATATGGGGAAAGGTCTATTGGACATACAAACGAAATAGTCTGCTGTTTCATTGCCTAAAGGAGATTTTTTTTTTAAAATGGATTAAAGGACTTCTGTTGTTAAGAATGAATTTTGGATTTTGTTTTTAGTTAAGAGCTGAGATATGGGGTGAAGAGAGCATATATTGTCTCTTAAGAGATGGTGATACATTACTAAAACTGTACTTGTTGGAATTAAAGGGAAGTTAGTTCTCTTCTCTTCTCTTCTCTTCTCTTCTCTTCTCTTCTCTTCTCTTCTCTTCTCTTATCCTATCCTATCCTATCCTATCCTATCCTATCCTATTTTTTCTCTTCTCTTCTCTTCTCTTCTCTTCTCTTCTCTTCTCTTCTCTTCTCTTCTCTTCTCTTC